GGCGAGGCGAGGCGGGAGCCTCGTGTGCCAGCCGCAGCCCCACACCTGCCGGGATGTCCGGACAAATAAAGCGGTGTAAACAAAAAGGGGGGAGATGGACGTGTCACCAAGTCGTGTGAGAAAAGCCTGGGAACAAACGGGGCTCCTCCGTCTCCAAGAGCTCTCCCTTGAACCCGGCGGAACAGCCTATTAAAGGCTTACTTAATTACTTTAATGACTCTGGACAGGCTTTAAAACGCACTCGGCGCTGGGACTGCGGGCTTGCTGGGATTTGTAAACAGGCAATCGTGTGAGACTCAGCGGTGGGACTAAAGGAGGCGACACTGTTTTTGTGAGGGTCCTCGCCCCCCGGTGCCCGCGGCCGCTGCGCCCCTGCGCTCTGCGCCTGCTGCAGGCGCTCGCTCGCCCGCCGGCCCCAGTTTACCGCCTCCTTTTCCCGCCGGGGCTGTTGCCATGCAAATGTTATTCCCCCGCCGATCACGTGTCCTTTGAAGGGCCACGTGGATTAACAAAGCTGATCTGCCCCCAGCTCGCCCCCCTCGGCTGCTAATTTTTTTTTTCTTAACTTCTTTAAAACTGATCTTGAATGCATACATCCCCCCAAACGCAGCTCCCCTAATCCTATGGAATAATTCAACTCGTGAATGCACTTGGAGCCCTAGATGACCGCTTTATAAGGCAGCCCCTCGGAGTTGGGAGGCTGCAGTCTACCTGGGACACTCGAGGAGGCACACGAGGCGGAAAGTGGACGGGTGACTCGCGCCACCGCCTCTCCCGAGGGCGCGTCCTGACCAGGATGTCAGACAAGCTTAAGGAACGCAAAGTGAGTCGGCTGAGCCCAGACAGCCCTTGCGCCCCACTGGTGGGGGCGTCTGACTCCTGGAGCCGCCACCTGGCTGGACCGACGGCAGGGACGTGGCACACGGGACTCTCGTGAGGAGGAAGCTTGAGTGGTTTGGGCGGGGAACGAGGACAGAGAGAGGAGCTTCCTCAACCCGGGAGGCCGGTGGCCACCTCCCCAGTGCCCTGGCGCTCAGCTGGACGGCGTGGCCCAAGCCGGGCGGGCGGGCGGCCGGAAAAGGAGCGCACTGGTGCGGGCGTGAGAGGGCAGGGCTCCTCTGACCCCCGTCCGGGGCGAGTCCCTGGGCCGCGTTGGGGGCTGGGAAGACGGTTGACACGCAGCTGCAGCCATGCCTTTGACGACTCCCTGGGCAACACTATCCTAAATGTACAAACCTCTGTTCGCAGAGAACCCCTGTTTCCCACAAAGTGATAGAAAAGCGGAGGAGGGACCGGATAAACCGCTGCTTGAACGAGCTGGGCAAGACGGTACCCATGGCCCTGGCGAAGCAGGTAACGTCAGAGGCCGAGCTAACAGAGCCAGGCGCTGGGGATCCTCCGCTGCCACGCTCGGCAGGGATGCAGGGAGTCTGGAGACGGAGAGGCCTTTGCAGCGGCCTCTTCTCCCCGGGGGTCGAGCGCTGGGCGAGCCCCAGGCGGCCCTCGCGCGGACCCGCCCCAGCGCCTGCTCGCTGCCCGGGATAAAGCCGTGCACCCAGCCTGCCCGCGTTGGCTTGCGCCCGCTGGGTCGCTGCGAGGAGCTCTTCCTCCTTTTGCAGAGTTCCGGTAAGCTGGAGAAGGCGGAGATCCTCGAGATGACCGTTCAGTACCTGAGGGCCCTGCACTCCGCTGATTTTCCCCGGGGAAGGGAAAAAGGTGGGCGCGGGTTGGACAAAGGGGAACCTGGGCGGGGAGCGTTCGCCACACTGGCACTTGGGGCCGGGAGTGGGGGTCAAAGGGTCCTCGTGAGAGGTCTCCACTCTGGATGCGGCCCGAGGGGGTTGGGGGCGGGCTGAGGTTCTACGTAAGCAAGGGGACAGGAGGACAGGTTTCTGGGGATGCTGGTTCCGTCCCCTCCTCTCAGGTGGGGAAGGGTGGGGTCAGGCTCTTAAGGAAAAGGAGTTCTTTTGCTTTCGCTGTTCCGGTCTCCAGACTGGGGGTAAGGGAGGACAGGCCTCAAATGGGATCTCGGGCCAGAAAACGTGACGGGAGGGTGCCTCGGGCTCCCGGTGGGGAAGGGGCTGCTCATGGTTTGTTTTTTTCCTTCCTGCGGGTTTGCTCGCCGCTCCAGCAGAACTGCTAGCAGAGTTCGCCAACTACTTCCACTACGGCTACCACGAGTGCATGAAGAACCTGGTGCATTATCTCACCACCGTGGAAAGGATGGAGACCAAGGACACCAAGTACGCGCGCATCCTCGCCTTCCTGCAGTCCAAGGCCCGCTTGGGCGCCGAGCCCGCCTTCCAGCCGCTGGGTTCGCTCCCGGAGCCGGATTTCTCCTATCAGCTGCACCCAGCGGGGGCCGAGCTCACGGGCCACAGCCCCGGGGAGGCCTCCGTTTTCCCGCAGGGCGCCGCCCCCGGGCCCTTTCCCTGGCCGCACGGCGCGGCCCGCAGCCCGGCGCTGCCCTACCTGCCCGGCGCGCCGGTGGCGCTCCCGAGCCCCGCGCAGCAGCACAGCCCCTTCCTGACGCCCGTGCAGGGGCTGGACCGGCACTACCTCAACCTGATCGGCCACGCCCACCCCAACGCCCTCAACCTGCACCCGCCCCAGCACCCCCCGGTGCTCTGACGCCGCCTCGCCCGCCAGGGTTCTCCGCGCGCGCCCGGCGCGACGTAGGAAAAACACCGTACGTTGTACAGATGTAAATAGTGTGCCAACAAAAAAGCTGGGTGGGGGAAGGTCAAGAGCAAATTAGTCTCCTGAAGGATCTCCCCCTGGCAATAAACGTTTTCTGATAAAGACCCAAGAGATGGATTTCTTTGTTACCTTCTGCTCCTCCACAACCACCCTCGGAGGTGCCCGAGGGCGAGCGCCTGAGAGGGCCCAGGTGACGGTCATCAGTATTTGGGGGCGGGAGGCGCTGCGAGGCCCGAGGGGGAGGGGGGAAGCCTAAACGGAGCGTCGCTTCGAGGCGGGAATTCGGGGCTCCCTCCCCTCACCCGACTGGAGCGTGTCTTGGGCATTTGCCTCAAGGGAAGGGCGCACGCGAAAAACTGGGGCCCCGGCTCTCAGAAAATGCAAATCAAGGACCCGCCCCAAGCCGGCCCCGGCGGACTGTCGCCAGCTCGGACCTGGGCGCCCTTCCTACCCCGAGACGAGGCCGGGGGTCGCGCGCGCACCACGCGCCGGCGGGACCCGAGAGCCGCGCAGCTCGGGCCCGCGGGACGCGTGACTGGGTTTACAGCCTTCACACGTCTCCGTAAGACACGGAGCGAGGAAGTAACTTCTGAGTTCTGGCTCAGAAACAACGTCCGACGAAGTCTGTTATTTTAGGATGACAACTTCTCCGCGCGCGGGAGGGCTCGGGGAGGCTGGCCTTGCCTTTTGCGCACAGATCGGCTCAGCTTCGGAGACGCTAGGCGGCCGCGTGAGGAGCCGGCGACCTGCGGGTCCGGAGACGCGCTCCCCAGGGGAGTGTTCCCTCTGCGGCTCCGCCCTCCACCGGCGAGGGGTCGAGGCGCAGGACTCTCCGCCCAGGCTCTCAGGCCCGATGAGAAAAGGCTTCCCTCTCCCCGGGGGAGGGAAGGTGGATTTTAACCTTCTGCTCAACCCAGAACGTAGCGAGGCAAGTTTTCAGGGTCCAGGGGAGACTTGGTTAGTGATCTTTAGGAGATTGGGGTTTTCAATGCCAGTTGGATCTGCGCCTTACCCACAACACAGCGATACATTTAAAGCAGCAAACAAAAATTTTGTTTTTCTAAGACCCAAACGGCAAACTGAGACTTCTGTTGTTTTATGGAAACAGGTAAAATGAACAAGGGATCCAACTGGCTAAAGTTGTGTTTGTGGGGCTTTACATTTTCCCCCTTCGTTGATTTTTTTTCTTTTGTTCCCCTATTTCCTTTTTTGTTCCCTAGCTTTGACGCCCTTTACATAAATAATTCGAAAACAGGTTTTCCTGTTTCCAGAGGCCATTTAACTGAACTACAATGATTTGTCTTCTCCCAGATCAGCTGGAGAACAATAAATTAACTTACTCCGTTTCTACGGACAGGGTTTCAGGGAGCTCTGACCTAGGCTGTTGACTGAGGTCGTGGAATGAGGTGACCTGGAATTTGTAAACCATCACACTTGATTGTGCAGAGACGGCGCAGAAAACAAAGATAAAACCCAGTTCGTTGCGTTGCCCATTAAGTGAACCTTAAACGTGCATGCAAGGGGCAGGGGGATTCTGTAAACCTTAGAAAAGGTCTTGCAAGTAAGGAGTTCTAGCCCTTACACTACATGTCACTACAGTACTTATCTAAGATGTGAGACCCCAACAAATACCTCCTGCCTCATGAACTGATATAGTTAGAACATGAAAGCAAGCGTCAGGCCGGGAAGCCTTCCGGATAACAAATATACATTGCACAGTATGGGATAAAAACAAATTATGCAGAAATGAGAGAATGCACGGTGCCTATTATCGGAACACATGTCTTACACCCATTTTCATCAGCGCTGGATACAGAATATGAAGACGGCCTTTCAGGCTTTTTTTCTCTGAGCATTAAGCCAATCTGAATTCCCTTTGGCAGTGAAGCATTAAAGATATAGTGTTACCCTGGAAATATAAATTATTAATATATTCAGCATTTTTGTCACTTCTCAACTGTTAACCAAATTAGACAAAACTTTCTTTTACTAAGTAGATTTTCTCTTTGGGATTAGCTTTGGGAATGCACAGGGCCACCACAGTAAAAACTTTGGTCATTTACATATAATTTTGCAAACTTCCACTGGCCCATGACAGTCTTTGTACCTCAAATGTTGGTATTCTTGATTTTTTTTTTCCTTCTCATTTAACTGTGGAGGATAAAACCCTGCTTTGGATTTACAATGACTTTAGGATAAAAGTCTCCCTCCCCATTCTCTTCCTCCCCCTTTCTGTGTGTGTGTGTGTGTGTGTGTGTGTGTGTGTGTGTGTGTGTGTGTTGTGTCTTTTTCTGAAACCTTCATCCAAAGTTCCAATTCTCCAGGCTTGGCCAAAAGTCAAACTTGGAATAGTCAGACTTTGCAAAAGATTGAAAAAAAATGTCACTACAAAATGGAATTGATTCAGATCAGATTGTGACTTTAATGTGTCCTGTCCTGCACTTTCTCTGACAACACAGTACTCCCAGCCTCCCTGTCCCAAGCCCCCCACCTCCCCCGCCTCTGTCTGAGTCTCTTATGCCCAATCCTTCCACTCTTTCTTTTAAGTAAGTTGTATAGTAATGGTTTCCAAGAGAGGCTCAACCAAACCCAGAAATAACAAAAAACAAAAAACAGTGGGTTTGGCTGGAGGTGACCCATTGTGATACCTCTGAAAAGGGCAACCTCTTGTTTCTTGGGCTTCATCCTTGAGTGGGCAAGAATAAAAATAATCATCCCCATGAAATCAAAGGTTTTCTCCAGAGGCTTGAGGAACAAAGCTGATGGCTGGCGCTTTGGGTTGGTCCCCGTGGCTCTGTAGGGCTAGAACTAGGGGCTCCCAGGCGCTCCAGCCGCCCCTGCCGAAAGGGTGGTAATACAGAGCTCACTTGTGCTTCCAAGCGTTATTGAACACAGTCCATGTGTCAGTGGGGGCCCTCCGGTCTGGGCGGCGAGCTACCAGGCAAGGAAGGCTTGGAATTGCGAGGAACCTGGTAATGGGTGTCTGCATACAGTAACGCACCAAGAAAAAGGAGGCGACGGGGGCATTCAGTAGGTGCTCAGTAAACATTTTTGTGGAATGACGAAACGAACCCCCTGACAGTGCTGAGCCTCTTGGAATTCTCTATCTTGGCTGGACCGCTTGTTTCCGGCCCCCAGGCCCCCGCCCACTCACTGCAGCAGAGGCGAAGTACTCTGCACACATTCTGAGAGTTGTCAGACACGGCAATGGCTCCGCCTTTGCCTAGAAATTCTACCTGGTGCTCTGGCAGAAAGAGACGCCCCTTGGCCTGTTTGGTTAAGGCAGTTAACTCTCTCTGAGGGCCCAGCTAAATGCAGACCCCAAATCCAGGATTTGAATTTGATTTCGGGACTAGTCTTAGGAGGGTTCTGCTCCTTTCGCATGAGAAAGAGCCAAGATGGGGCTGAGCCAGACTCTGCCCTCTTTTCTGCCACCTCTTTTGGCTTCTGGAGCCAAACCACCTGGATTTGCATTCCAGCTGTGCTGCTCACTAGCTGTGTGCCCTCAGGCAAATTGCTAAGCCTCTCTGTGTCTCTTTCATGATCTATAAAATAGATTCAAAGCGCATAACTTCATGTGGGTTGCTACGACGAGGAAGTGAATTGGTACCTTCAAAGCACTCTAGACAGTGTCTGGCCCATAGTGAATGCTCAATAAACGCTAGCTATAATAATAATAATGATCTACTATTCCCTCCTTTCTCCCAAAGAGTCAGATCCTCTTCAAAGTGAAAAGCAAAATGTCAAGGCAATCACTAAAAAAGCATCTGAACCCCCCACCCCCCAAAATTAAGTCCCAAGGCTTGCTCTGGAACAAGGCAAAATTCCCCATTTAGGGCAAGTGGGGCTAGGGAGCCCTAATTCCAGCCCATGGTCAATTTGGGGGCCGGGAGCCCCTCTCCAGGTCATGGCTGGTAGCAGAGCCCCCCTGATAACCTTGAAATGCCATCTCACACTCCTCCACATACAGAAGGCTGACCTGATGTTCTTCTGCAACCTCTCTTGTACCCACCTTCCCACGTGCTCCTTCCAATTACACATCGACGCCCGTTAACATACAACTCTTGGCCCTTGCAAATTCTTTTTGGAATGTGGGGGAAACAAATAAACAAATTCAGTATTCTTTAAGCACACTTTCCTTTTTTTTTTTTTTCCTCAGCATTTCCTTCCTTTTTCCCATGAAAGCCTTTCACCTGTCCTCTCCGTCACCCATCTGCTCCGCTTCTGGCCCCAGACTCACCCCCTGATGTGGATAAAGGCTCTAGAGTGACCCTGTCTCAAGTTCTCACTCCCTTTCTCGCTGGCCCTTCAGTCCTGATTCTCCCCACTTTTCGGATTGCTTGGCTTCTGCTACGTGCTTCTCCATGTGTCAGTGGCCTGGCGTACGAATGGGCCTGTGTGGGGCCCCCAGCGAGGAGGGGTATCGCAGGAGTGATCCCTTCAACACTGCTGGTGCTCCCTTCCTGCTCTGCAGCTATACGGATGGTCGTGCTCAGGAGGCGGGCCCAGCCCTGCTCCTGAAGCCCTCTCCCTCCTGCCAACCTTTCCACAGGAAGCAAGCAAGCGTCCCTACTAAGCTGGCTGGCAGATTCGCACTTTTCCTGGATAAGTTTACTTTTAAGGTCAAGGGTTGCAAGCCCCCTATCCACCTTCTCTACCCACAGAAGGCACATCCTCTAATCGGTAGCAAAATAGACATTTTTATCTCCATCTGACACCTGTATCTACATCTCAAATGATTCTGAGCACAGCGTGGAGAAAAAAAAAATGACTAGTTTATCAGATACTCCAAAACCCCAGAACCTGGGGGCCTGTGTGTGTGCACCCAGGAAGGCAGTACACACAGATGCCTGCGTGCATCAAGTGGTGCACGTATGCACAGGATATCTGCTTGGGTACACAAGTGTGCACATGGTGGGGGCAAACTGGGG